CCTCTAGGGAAATAAACATTTACACAGGTCAATGGTTTTACTAAGTACTGCAAGGCTGTACGGTCTGGTTTCAATAACACGTATCTGGTTTCTAAATCTAATTTCGTATTTGTCAGATGTGTTTGGGTTTTCCATCCAACAATGACCGTTCGACATGGAAATGATGGAGACAAACAGCATGTATAAGTTTATTGTGTGTTTTCATTGTTATTGTCTTATCTCAATTTTTTTTTTTTTTTTGTGTTGTTGTCTTATCTAAAATATTTTTTTAATTGTTTGCGATTTTTTTTCCCCACAAAAAAAACCTGCGTTATTAAAAAAAAATCATTTGAAAACGTCATTGAACAAACGCATGAACAGTGAGAGAAAATAAATTTGAACGGGATTTTTAGCAGATTTATCTCCTCAGTTAATTCTCATATAAAAGTAAATAGGTTTAGATTCCTAATGAGTGACAAAATCGTACATCTGAATGATCTTGTATGTTCTGTTGGCACGTTTATTATTGGTAAAACAGAATTTATTTGCACTCATTCTGAATATTTTTAGCCGTGCGTCAAAATGTACTGAAAATATGGATCAACACCAAAAACACAGAAAAAAACGAAGTGACACGTTGTCATGTGCAAACAAACAAATTAGCAAGGATCAAATTGTTAGTTGATCAGAAGTGGAGCTCAAAAATAAATATGGTTACGAACAAATGTACTGTTAATAGGAATGGGGGGGTGGTCTTCCTGTCTGAACTGGAGACACTCCCACTATTGCTTTTGCACAGATTGAAATGAGAATGAAAATTTGGTTTAAAAGCTGTTGATTTTGAAACATGGCATGTAGTGATGAGTAATATGTGTAAAAATAGATGAAGTTTATGATGATGATGAGGATGATGCCAACGGCAATTATTATTATTATTATTATTGTTATTATTATTATTATTATTATTATTATTATTATTATTATTATTATTCCCAGAACACCCAGTGATAGCCCAGTTGACTACACACGATCAAAAATGTATAAATAATTCTGCAGGAAGGTCTGTAAAGTTTTCTTAGTTTTCTTTTCTAATTTAACCGTTTTCTAATAACTGTTTTTATATTGGTTGTTTCCATTACATGACACTATACAGCAGCATTAGCTTAGCATAAAGACTACATGCGGATGTTGTGCTTTAGTCAAACTACAAGAGAATGATGTCTAAATTTCTTCTCATGCATTTTTTGACATGCTTTTGTGGTCAGTAGATAAACATTGGTAATGCTATCTTATATTTTGGTAAAGTTTCCAGCCTTCTCTGAATCACCTTTAAATTATCACAGTCCACGTCGGTTAAAAAAGCCTGTTTTCTGTGCGTTTGACCTAGCTAAGCATAAAAACTGAGAGCAGGTTACAAAGTGTAATTTCAAGTTCTGCTTCGTTGGTTTTAGTTAGCTTTTGTGATAGCATGCTAAAGAGCTGAGAGGGTTTGTAAACAAACAAGTGGAAGGTGGAAATCAGCAGTTAGCTAGTTTTGCCCAAATGTCTTTAACAGCTTTACTTTCAGTTACGTAGCTAGAACTGCAGTTATATGGAAGGCAGGGACCTAGCTAGCAAAAGAAATGAACCCAGGCGCACATTGAAAGCTGTGTTTTGCGTTGTCTATTGGAGATTGTAGCCTGCTACAGCTTTTAGCACTTAGCTAATGTCTTAACTTTAATGTTTTAAATGTGTCTTTGTAGCGCTAAGTCTGCTAGCCATGCTAAGCTAAGCTTACCAGTAAGGTTAGCCAATTACTTTTTTTATGAGCATTTTTGAGATATTATAGAATCTTTTTAACTTTTTGATTAATTTTTAATTTTTTTAATAAAACCATTTTGATTAAGCCTCTTTTTCACACAAGACCTTTATTTATTTAAAATTAATCTCTGACATTATTGCCCTTAAAGGAAACATTTTTTTTTTATCATATTTGCTTTCAAAAACAAGTGAATGAATTGTCGGAAGTCTCTGAAACCATAGTCCTCTTTATGTAGAAATATGGTTTTATCAAGTGGACGGGATGTTACTAAGTTGTTGATATGATTTTTTTTTTTTTTTTCTTTTTTCAAAATTTTTCAGGGGAATTTCAGTGGAAGATAGACACCAAATAGGTTTTAAAGCTTCGGTCATGAGTGGACACTGAGGTAGACGTTAAAACAGATATTACAGCAATCTGATCACAAAAGATGAAGAACAAAAGGCAGAAATATCTATCTAGATTTTGATATTTGCAATAAGTGTGTTTCTTCTCTAATTCCCACAACAACAAAAGGAAATAAATCCTGGGTATTACAGGAAGCGGTCCGTACACTTATGATGTGCTCTGTCACAACCACTGACTACTTTTGTTTTGTTTTGTTTTTTTCCCAAAGATAAAGATTAAAAAGCAAAACGGAAATCAAAAATCAGTAAAAATATTAGAAATCTACAAAATAATTCCAAAGCTTAATTCTCTCCATAAAAACATATATTACATAATCCTTTTGAAAAAATAGAGATAATCAGTAGAACAGAAGTGTAACCAGCTTTTGTTTTTCTTGTTCCCATTTTTTAGATTAGCGGTGCGGAACTGTTTCCCTTCTGCTAACGTGCTCTACTTTTCCAAGCATGCAATGACAAGATGGTTTTCAAAAATGATATGCGACATCGGCACAATACGTACAGTAAGTTTCTCTACAGCATCGACCTGCACACGTGGGAACAGGCTAGCAAAAACACACGTAGCGTCATCGTAACGATGATAATTCAAGTAAAGTTTTTCGTACCTCAGAGTCTATGCTCTGTGCAAAAATCAGTCAGGACGTCCTTGTGTCGAAAGGCGTCTCGTGGATCCATGGTTGTTTATGCGTCAATATTTTGTCCCCCCTAAAGTTTACTTTCATGGAAGGATGATGACGTAGCAGGGGTAGCGTAGCATGCGCGACGTACATTTGGTTTGATGAGGCGGCGTCGAGCGAAGTGAGCGTAGGAAGGAGGAGGAGCCACTCGTGAGGTTCTCCTGAAAAAAGAGACAAAATAGTAACAAACTTAGTACGAATCTTTATAGGTTTAGAGATGTTCGTGGACCGCTGCTAGCTAAAGCTAAGCTAAAAGGTACAATGAAAAAGAGCAGCTTAGACACTTGTGACTGACGCACTTCTTCAAGCCGTATATTGTGTAATAAATACACTATATTCAAATATTATATATTTAAATATTATATATTTAAATATTATATATTTAAAATATTTTTCTTAATCAGTGTTTGTTTCTTTCATCCACCAGTTACTGCTGTGTCATCTGTCCACTTCCTGATCCCTAAATCTATGCTGACTCTGGGGTCACATCACAGGAGGCTAAGTATGTTTATCATTTTAAAAATATGTTGGTTATGACATTTATTTTGGCAGCCGACCAACAACTTCCTCCTCCGTTTAAATGGAAAAACCCGCGGGTTGGGTCGGTGGAGGTAGGAAAGGAAGGAGGTGACGGTGTCAGGGTGAGGGACAGATTCCTTCAGCACTGACACATACTTTAAAAAAAGTTTTTGGACTGAGGCTATGTCTCATTAGAGGGAATCCTCTCCCCCTCTGCCCCCCCCCCNAGGCAGCGTCAGGGCGTCTTGATAGGAGCAGATTCTGAGCCAATCAGAGACTGTGAGAGTAAAGACAAACAAGGACCTCGTGTTGGCTTCCTCGTACCACCTGGAACTTTGAGTGACAGGAGGAACTACGTACAGTCGTCCCGTGACTTCCTGTCGGTGTTTCGTTTTAAGGCTAACATTTAGCCCATCTCACTGACTGGACGTTTTTCTTATCCCAGTATATGTTTTCAAAATTAATTAATTACATTTTTTTTTAAATCCCAGTGTTCAGAAAGAGCAGCCGTTCTTCAAAGTAATCTCATTTCTCCTCTTTTATTTTGAAGGAGTGTTTCCTGTTTCGACTACTAACGCAGAATTATTCAGAGTAAACTACATTTTCCTGCAATAAATCTAAATTTTTGGATTTTTTGTCATCACACTTTCAATCACACGTCACTGGACTTTTATCTACTGTCCAGGAGCTTCTACTGCCACCTGCTGGCCAGCAGCGTTACATACACCCTGTTTACGTCAGTCTGTGTATGTAAACACGTTTTTCTATTCAGCTAATTCCATCGACTGTGACCAAAAAAATAGATACTTTTATCAATATTTTAAAAATATTTTATATTTAAATCCAAACACAAGTCAAATTATTTCACTATAAACGGATTTTTGCTTCTGTAGTCATTTTTTAGTCCATTTTTCTATAATAAAAAAACAAAAACAGAATGTATTTCCCAGCCTGTTGTACTGACTGGAGTACTGCAGTATTCAGTCCTGTGTAACATGAACAGAAACCCAGACAACAGTCACTCACCTTGGTTTGGGCCCGACCGTCCTCTGGTGGTGAGAATCCTAACATCAGTCTGTGAATGAGTCAGCAGTCGAACTCCATCAGTGCCTCAGAATATAATCCAGAGAACATGTGACCTGCTCTCCACAAATGTCCGTTGGCCTCATGTTTTCATTCCATCAGGTCTTTAAGAATCCACACAAAAAAAAATCCACTTTTTTTTCTTCGGCTGTGGTTGAATGACTTGATCTAGAGAAGAAGGTGATGATCCTCGAACAGGTCACGTGACCTTTTGCTGTGGTAGTGATGTGGAGAATCTGAATAGTGACGGTTTTAAAATCTGAAATGTGTTTTTAAGTCATTCATACAGCAGTGTTCTGAAATTTGGTAACTCTCTTTATTTTTACACTATTTTAATTCAAACTGTTTTTGTCCTAAGTTTTTACTTAGTTTCTGAATTTTAAGTCAAATTTAGGTAAAAGATTTATCCAAGTCTCCAAATGAGCTGAATTTGTGGCATTTTATTGAGGTAAGGCTGAATAAAAATACACATTTATTTTATAGACTTCTGTCATTCCCATATCTCTAAGATAACAATAATTACTTTTTAAAAAATTTTAAAAATATTTTTTTTCTATTTTAATTTTTGAAATGGCTCTCTGAAGTATTCCTATAATGGTATTATTGACGTATAATCATATATATTATGTTATGGCATTTAATATTAATGACAAATGGCTTCTGTATGTACAGTGGGGTTTTTTCTAAATACAAAAAATACTTTCTTTATAGACAATCTGAAAATACTAAAACTTTTTTACTTTTTGTCTGAATACAACAACATTTGCTTTGTTTTATTGTTATTGGTCAAATTCTCTGCTGTTTATCTTAAACTGTATTTATATATATATATATATTAAAACTAAGTCAGGGCTAAAGAACTGAATATCCGTCACTTTAAAGCATAAATATTAAAAATGTGTTTTAGTCTGTGGCTGAGACTGAATCAATACGTGATGGTGTTTTTCTTTTGTTTGTTTCTTCAGGGAATAATAATCAAAATAAGGTGCGTCGTGATTGGAGTGAATCCTCTCCACTGAAACCAGCCAACATGGAGGCTCCACAACAACATGGTGGGTTTTTTCTTTTCTTTTTTTTTCTTCTTTTTTCTTGCTTTCTCTCTCCACAGTTCTCCGTCTGTGTCCTTTCAGCCAGACAATACAGAAAAGTCTAGAAGGTTGCTATAGAAACTGCATCCAGTCAGATAAGGCCGCAGGGTCTCGTTTGTCCACACGAGGGCGCCCCTGTATTGGAATAGCTGCAGCGGGGGGTTTTCATGGGTGTTGATGTGTATGTGAAGGACAAGTGTCTCCCTGTGGACTCTGTGGACTCTGTGGACTGTCTGAGGGTTCAGGTCTGGACACGGTCGTCACAGGCTGCTGCTCCTCACCTGAACCACCGACCTTCACGGACTCACAACTAAAAACCAGGCCGTCATTCTACAAGAGAGACCCTCCCTCTATGTCTGTGTCTGTCTGAAAAGATAAAGTTGAGACACGTCGGTCGGTTCTAGAGCCTGACTAAATGACAACCACTGGGTTCCAGTTGAACTTAAATCCACAGGTGTTTGGTACCTGAAAAGATACAGTTGTCCGTAGGTAGGAGTGTTTGGTTCTTTTAGTTAGTTCCAGGTACCAAACATATCTGGTACTGGGCATGAGTGGACCATAACGTGACCCACCTCTGCAGTTTGGGTCCAAACCATGGCAGACCAGGACCAGACCAGGACCAGACGAGTCTCTCACAGTTCAGCTAAGATCCTAAACTAACCTTTGAAGCTAAGAGGTTCTGGTCGTTTGAGGACTTTGATGATGGTGAGTCTTAACATGACATGTTAACGTGACAGACCGAGACACAGATGCTGAATCTGGTGAAAAACATGGTTCAACATGGAGGATTTTAGCCCATTTCCCACAAATGTAACTCCACCAAGGTCTAAAATGAAAAACTTATTCTGACACTGACAAAAAGTTCTTGATCAACTGGTGGTTCAAGCACTTTTTATGTAAAATCTTGTCAAAAATCCTTCCCCCCCATCTTTCCTATTTTATAATTTGAAAGAAATTGAAGTGAATCTGGATTTCCTGGCAGGTTTTTTTTCTTCTGTGTCTCGGCTGTGGCAGCTGTTAGTGATGACGGCGTGTCATGTCAGTCAAACCACCATTCAGAAAGCACAGGAATGCAACAGAAACAGGTTATAGTTGTAGATGGTTTTCTTACAGTGAGGCAGCTGTGTTAGTTCATGACTTCAGTCCAGGTGGACGTGGAACCCTCCCCTAGAACTGGACCCGGGTCCACTCATGTACGTAGATAAATTATCAAAATAAAGTGATAAAGTGCTACACTGACCTACAGCCTGGTCATCACTAACCTGCTTCATCATCATCATCATCATCATCATTTGTTTGTTTGTTTGTTTTGATGTGGACTCCCGTGTGGTCCATTTCTTCCTCTGTGGTGAATGAAGTGACGTCAGAGAACCAAATATGAGCTCGGACCGGAGCGCAGGATGTTGATGGCACAGCAGAACGTGAGGTGCGTTCAATCCTCAGACGCGGGAGCCGCTTCACACGTCCGTCAGTTTCCCGGCGCACTGCGCCTTGTGCGGGCTGCAGTTGGTGTACTTGATGGAGTCCGCGTCCTCCATGTCCAGGTAGTCCGACTTGTTCGACAGAGACGGTTTGCTGTCGCTGCGCTTGAAATCCCCGTACCCCGGGACAGGCTGCTGCCCACAGGTGACATGCGTGTACTGCAGCTGCTCCTCGTGCTCGGTCTCCCGGTGGTAGAAGTAGTTGAAGTTCGAGACGATGACCGGCACCGGCAGCGCGATGGTGAGGACACCAGCGATCGCGCACAGGGAACCGACGATTTTACCGCCGATGGTGACCGGACACATGTCCCCGTAGCCCACCGTAGTCATGGACACTACCGCCCACCAGAAGGCGTCCGGGATGCTGCTGAAGCCCGAGTCCGGGTCGTCGGTCTCCGCGAAGTACACCGCGCTGGAGAAGAGGATGACCCCGATGAAGAGGAAGAAGATGAGGAGGCCCAGCTCCCGCATGCTGGCCTGTAGGGTCTTCCCGAGGATCTGCAGACCCTTGGAGTGTCTGGAGAGCTTGAAGATGCGGAAGACGCGCACCAGGCGGATGACCCGGAGGATGGCCAGGGACATGGCCTGCTGGCCGTTGCCCTGGTGCTCGGCCAGTTCTAGCCCCAGGGTGATGAAGTAGGGCATGATGGCCACGATGTCGATGGTGTTCATGATGTTCTTGAAGAAGGCAGGTTTGCTTGGGCAGGCTAGGAAGCGCACCAGCAACTCAAATGAAAACCAGATGATGCAGAGCGTCTCTACAATGAAGAAGGGATCCGTGAGCGGGTTGAGCTTCTTGGCGCGGACGTTTCCGTTCACCTGGAGGTTCATGTGCAGCTGCTGCTGGAGGAGCTGCTGCTGCTGCTGCTGCTGCTGCCGCTGCTGCGGGTCCGCGAACGCTCTCGCCTC